GAGGCTATCATCTTAGCACCTCAGGAGGTTGAGATCTGAGGATCACAGTTTCAAGCCAGCCGGGGCAGGAAAGTCCATGAGACTCATGTCCAGTTAACCAGCAAAAGCCTAGAAGTGGAGCTGTGGCTCAAGTGGTAGAGAACCAGCCTTGTGCAAAAAAGCTAAGGGACAGCGTCCAGGCCCTTAGTTCAAACTCCAGTACACATACAAAACAAGGGAGAGTCTGCAAGTACGTTGAGTTCACAACTTGCCCCCATGTGAGGATACATACGGCCAAGACATTCACTGTAGGTGCTTTCAGGTCAAGCCAGTCAGAATCTCCCAGAAGCTCACAGGTGGGCCCGCTGCTTTTCATTGGCATAAGAACCCAGCAGGGCAGCGGCGCTCAGGAAGAGGCCGTGTACCAGAAAGTCACGTGTTTGGTTCCGAATGGGAACTTATTAAATAAATCACACAGATTACCCAGACCAGGATTGTAAGAGCCTTTCATTTTTTTTAATACACAGAAGTTTTGGTCTATTCTTTCAATTAGGAAATTCAACTATAGACTTTATTATGCATCTGCAGTCTTTCTCATTAAGATATTTTTTTGTTCATCTTTATAACAGGCAGATAAAAATGTAAAACATATTTATGAACTGAACACAGTTGACCAAGCCATTCCGTATAATATAATGCTGTATAAAGAGCAGCTTCCCAATGACACAGGCCTCCCTCGGCCTGAAAAGTATACAAGAACCGGAGCGGAAGATGCGAGTTCACGGTGCCCCACTCTGAACCCCACAGCCCAGCACAAAGGCAGCCTCCGGACTACACACTCAACATGGACATCAGACAAGTTTACACAGCAGCAGTGACGGTTTGCTTTTGAATGTCTAGTGCTCATTGGCTCTATTGATGTGTCTACAACAGGGTGACGAGAAGCCCATTAGCACAGCCATGTCATCCGCAGCTGAAACACTTTGAATTTTACTTCTTGTGGAAGAACACAAAGACCCTCAACATAGTGAGTTGCCCTTTTGTTATTGTGGTTGAAACAAGGACATCAGGGAACAATTTACAAATGGGTAACATTCTCAATGTGCCCTTTAGAAAAAGGGATGGCTTTAAGTTATCTGTAGCTGGCATTTTCGAATGGATTTTTTTTTTCTCTTCTGACCGAAATTCTTTTGCCCGAGCTTTGACTACTCCTTCTTAGGGGTGACATAGCATTGATGTTAGCAGTGGGAACACAGCATGTTCCCGTTTGGCTTTGTGTGGGTGCCAGCAGGTGCGACAAACTTTCCACGGGGATGGTGCAGGTGACCCTCTGGAAGGTGCCAGTCCACATCTGCTGCATCCTCGTCTTACGTCCATCAGCTCCACCTGTCTCCGAGTGGCTGAGCCCAGGCCCCGGCAACAGGGGGTATGGGAGCTATAGGGAGGCCCTGGTCACCTCTCTAAAGTGACACGCAGAGTTTTCAGAAGGTAAAGGAACCTCATTGGCAAAGTGCTGCCCATTTCGCTGGTGTCACCAGATGGGCATCCACACTGAGGATCTGGGCATGTGCCGAGAATTAGGAGGGTTGGCCTTCCATTGGGAAGAGGCCCATCTGTCTGAGCTTTCCTGACAGGGTACCAAATTTTGGACCCTCTCTCTCCCTGGCATTCCCCTCTCAGGTTATCACTGATTCAGGGGAAACTGAGGCTTGACCCACTGAATGTCTGGGAGGATCCAAGGCCTGCCAGCCCTGTTGTCAGCCACAACAGGACCAGAAGAGCTAGCAGTATGATGAGAGCAATGGGGACAGGGATGGTAGCAAAATCCAAGAGACTCTGCTTCCCCAGCACGGCCTTTGTGGGTTACATCTGTCCTCTGGACCAGAAGCCTGGGGCTGGAAGCATGCGTTGGTGGGTGGCACTGCCTATGTTATGGCTGAAGTGGTCCAGCGAGCACTTTCTGGCATTTTCCAAAACACAAAGTGGGATCCAGACGTGCTGAGGGCGAGGAGGTTAGACAGCAATTCCCATCAGCTCCTTGGGTTTGGTCACCCCTCCTTCAGTTAGTCACTGTGGGACTCAGGCCTGCGTTGGGAGCCCATCTGCCTCTGTTCTACTGGGGCTGCTTCCAGAATTGTGGGTCCAACCCACTGGGGTCAGACGGGGCAGGGACTACAGCAGTACCCACACCTTGCACACATGCTTCATGCTCTCAAAGTTGGGGTACAGACAAAGCCACCAGCTACAAGGAAGAAGTTAGAATTGGAATTAGAAACAAAGGAAGCCAAACGCCAAACTTCCCTTGCCACTGACTGGAGGGAACAATTCTCTCAATACTTTGGTATTTTCCTTTGTGATACAAGATTCCATTGAAAGGCTCTCCTCCCCTTCTAAAGGCAGGGGTCTCAAAGTGCAAGTGTTCCAATTGTAAGGCCTCCAGGCCTCCAGCATCCCTCCCCAGTCCTCCTCCTCCGGAATCTCAGTAGGACCACACAGGAGAACACTGGGCCAGGGACTTAGGGAGGAATAGATATCAACTGAGAAGAAGTGCAGTCTAATTTCCTGGGGGGGGGGGGGGGGGGGGGGAAGAAACCAAAACCAAAACCTTGCTACATTCAATACTGGAAATTCAAAATGAGAACGCCTAAAATGGAAATATCATGCCAATAAAGAGATCCTTATCCTTTACATAAGCATCTTGTCACATATATGTATGTGCACACAGATGCACATCCATACAGACCCACACACACATGCACACTGCATAGGGAAGGGTCTACTACTGTGGTCAGGGAGAGTTGCTTGAAGCTACATTTGCAGGTGGCTCCCTCTGGTGGCTGTCTGGGAAATGGCATCCTCCCTTGCTCCACAGTGCAGTTCCATTTTTTGGTATGTGTTTGTTGATCTGATTACTCTCTAGTGGTTGCAACAAAGCTTTCAATAAACCATAACCAGCCCTGACCCCAATGCACAGCCTGGATGGTGGACACACGGTGGAATTATTTGTTAAGAACGAAGCATCAGTAGAAAAAAAGGTAGGGAGTGCCATTCTTCCTCTCTTCTACCTTCCCCTCCTCCCTCTTATCCTCTTCTTCCTCCTCTTCCTCCTCCCCCTGCTTCTGCTCCTGGGTCCTAGATGAGAAGCCCAGAGGGCCGCACCTTTATCGAATGGATTTGGCTTCCTGCAAAGACAGCACAAGAAAAGCCCTCAGTTGTCTCTGTTGTTTCCCTCTTTGGCAGGTGTGCAGGTCCCCCTCTGTGCCGTGTGCATGTGTGCGTGCGTGTGGGTGTGTGATTGCGCGTGAGTCCAAGTGTGCATGTGTGCATGTACAGAGAAGTTCTGGTTAGAGGGACGTCTCCATGCTGTGGAGTGGGCTCCCGGGTCTGGAAGAGAATGCCGAAGAGGTAGCTGACTTGGTGACATGCGTGGTCAGGTAGATGCCGCTGTCTATGGCATTGTTGTTCTGGTTGGGGGATGGTGGGGGTGGGGCCCGGAGGCGCTCCTCGTTCTCATCCACATCCGTGTCGTCTATGAGCGGGATGTTGTGGGTGTAGTCATTGATCAGAAACTCGGGCGTTGCCATGAAGTTATGGATGGAGCTCTTAGATTCCGGTTTTTCCAGACCTTCATAGAGCGAGCTACGGAATGCTTTCACCACTCGGATCTGGAGCAGAAGGTGAAGGGATGGGAGCCAAGGTGGAACAGGGACAATGGGAAGGGGTGAGAAAGAAAGAGAAGGACAAAAGAAAGGAAAGGTAAGGGAAAGGAAAGGAGACAGTCAATGTCCAGATGGTGCCAATGACTTGGAGCACATCAATGACTTGGGGGGGGTCATCGTAGCACTTGGGGTGAGGTATTACAATTGTTAAAACTGGGGTAGCTCTGCTGGGCTGCGGTAAAGGTTTTCAGGTCTGGGCTTTACTTTCATCAGCTGATCTACAGTCAGGAAACATGGCTGTTCTGGCCAGATGTTTTGGATTACCTGGCATTTGTCTGCTGCCTTCCCATTCTTTGACTTGGGAGGAAGACTGGTTTAGGTGGCCCTGGGAATCTCTACTCAGTCGGAATTCCAATGTGGTAGAAATATGCTGAGCCTCCTTAAGCATCTCACCTCCATCCCCTCAGCTTTGTAGCTGCCACCAGGACCTTCCATGCTCAGACCTCTTTGAACTCAGTGGCTTTTTTTTTGGGGGGGGGAGGTTGGTTCTGGGGCTTGAACTCAGGGTTTGGGCTCGGTCCCTGAGCTCTTTTGCTCAAAGCTAGTACTCTACCACTTTCAGCCACAGTTCCACTTCTGGTTTTCTGGTGGCTCATTGGAGGTAAAGTCTCATAGACTTCCTTGCACAGGGAGTGGCTTTGAACTTCAGTCCTCATATCTCAGCCTCCTGAGTAGCTAGGATTACAGGTGTGAGCTTTATTTATTCATTGTTTGCCTGTCTGGGGCTTGAACTGAGGGCCTGGGCGCTGTCCCTGAGCTTTTTGCTCAAAGCTAGTACTCTACAACTTGAGACACACCTCCACTTCCAGCTTTTTTTTTTTTTTTGGTACTTTATTGAAAAGTCTTACTGATTTTCCTGCCTAGGCTGGCTTCAAACTGGAATCCTTCAATCTTAGCCTCCTGAGTATCTAGGATTACAGATGTGAGCCACCAACATCCATCCGTCAGGAGTTCTCACATGGAAAGACCTCCCAGGTCTGGAAACTTAAGGCTCCTTCATATTGCTCCTGCCTGGCCAGCTGCTCTGCCCCATCTCCTCTACTACTCTCTCCTTTGTCCTGGGGGTGTCTGAGATCTCTGGTTACACCTTCCCTTCCTGGCCACAGTCCTGGGACCCATCTGGCTCCAAGCTCTGGGCCTAAGAGCCTACTTACTGATCTCTACCTGGAGGGAACGACTGAGAATGGCCACATTGTGCACACCAAACTTTCCCTACTTAGCTGCTTTGGTTTACTATGGTGGTCCTCATGGTTTCTCTGTAGCCCTGTGCCATAGCTAGTTGCTTCTGACTTGGTCTGTACTCTGTTTCTCCTCCTCACTCTGTGTTCAGACATCCATGGACTTTGCCATACTCTGTACATTCCCCTTTGCTTCCAGTCTTCAGATAAGATTGACTTCCTGCAAGGAAGAGCTTCCCCATCATACCCCTGACAACCCCATGCCCTCTACCACTGTGGCTCTCTGCTCCCAGCGGAGCTCCTTTGAACTACCACCTATACCTTCTGCAGGTCCTAGAGAATCAATCCCCCCCCCCCACCCGCCCCGGCTTTTCCACCTTCATTGGCTCATGAACACAACTCTCAAGGCTGACAAGCTACAGAGTTGCTATCTCCCTGCTCCCTTCCTGGTTTTTTAGCCTGGGCTCTCTCCTGCTTCTGGAAGCCAGGAACAGATATGCATCTCCTAGGCCTCTTATAAGAAGCCCAGCCCCAATGTCAGCTGGTTCTACTACAAATGCAAAGGCAGCACTGCTGCCCTCCCTGGCCCATTAGACAGGAGGGAGGGAGCTCCTGGCTCCACTTAACCCTGCCCTTGTGAAGTGTGGGACATGTTATGAATTCTAATGTCACTTCCAAATCCAAGATGCTAAGATTTCATCTCCTCCTTTTAGATAAAGTTTCTGCAGTCTATGGCTAAAAAGCTAGCTCTGGTTGCTACTGGTCTTGTAAATAAACTTTTGTTGGCACACTGCCATGTCCATTCATCTATGTACTATCCATGGCTGCTTTCAAGCTACAAGGACAGGGTTGTTTAGTTGCGACAGAAACCTGGCCCCAAAAGCTAAATATGTTTACTCACTGGCCCTTTATGGGAACAGTTGGTTAGTCCCCAGTTTAGACAATGAATCACCTTGACTACAAAGAGTTCCTTTCAGCTCCTAGAGTCTGGACCTTGGAGCTGACAATTCAGCCAGGGCAAGCACAATGTTCCTAAATCACTGTAATGAGGCAAACCACATAGTCTTTGGAATGCAAAGAGAGAGAGAGAGAGAGAGAGAGAGAGAGCCCACAAGCTCCAAAAAGGTGGAATATTCTAGGCCTGTGTGCGACATGCAGTTAGATTTTTCTCTGGCCTGGGTGAAGCCACATCTGCCTGCTTACAGATGGCCAGCTGTTCTCCCTGAGTCCTTCATCTCAGACTGCTTTCTTAAATAGAATTACTACAGAAACAGAATCATTTCACATTTTTTGGTGCCAGTCCTGAGGCTTTGAACTCAGGGCCTGGGTGCTGTCCCGGAGCTTTGTTTTGTTCAAGTCTAGCGCTCCACAACTTGATCCATAGCTTCACTTCCAACATTTTTGGTAATTTCTATTGGAGATAAGAGTCTCATGGACTTTGTGAACCACGATATTCAGATCTCAGCCTCCAGAGTAGCTAGGATTACAGGCATGAACCACTAGCACCCAGCTTAATTGCATATTTTAAATGAAAACAACAGAATTCACATTTTTGTAGCTAACTCCCATGTTGCCTTATTAGTTAGGTTTTCTGGTGCAGAAGTGAAGAATTTATGTCAGGGTTGGACATCACCTCTTCTAAAGAGACAAGGCTGTACACAGCCCTCCAGAACTCTAGGGTCAGTAAATTTACCAGTAATGCATCCCTGACCTTGGCCGCAACCTTCTCATTGCTGAGTTGCTGGCCACATTTGGACCTGGGTCATGTGATCAAGCCAGACAAAGCCAGACCACCCCAGCTGGCTCAAATTTATTTATCCCCCTAGGTCTTACTGTACCTGGCTGAACTTCAAAGTCCTTTCCTACAAAGGCCATGGGGCAGCCTGCTTCTTTGGCTACCACCGCCCCACTGGCTTGTCCCTGGCACTCTTTCTAGATGTAATTTGCCTTGTTTAATGCCCACTGTTAGAGTCAGGCACAATGCAACGGCTTGGCCAGCACTTGGGGAACACGCACACAAATGAGCCGCCCACACCTGAGTGGGCCAGAATCCTCCCACATTCTGCTGTTCTGAGTTTGAGTCCTGACACCTGGCAGGGAATCAGATTTCTTACCAGCTTTTTTGCTCTGCATTCAGGGCTGATGCTATTACAATGGCTGGACAACGTCTTAGGCTGGAGAGTTTTCAGCTCACCCTAAAACTGAAGGGCACAGGCAATTCCTGGGAAACTGGTTCAGTGAAAACCAGCAAATGGTAAGAAAGGCCCATCGTGGAGGACTGGGCTTGTAGCCAACTGTTGGTGGACACCTTCGTGGCCCCTTCCTTCTGCCAGGCCCAGAGTTTAGTGTTCCCAGCAAAGTCACAGCCCAAGCTGAGTGAAACCCATGCCCTGTCCCAACACCGCAGCTTGCATCTGCCTCTCCCGAGACTCCTCACTGGCTTCCCACTGTCCCCTTCTTCCCAAGGGATTTCACCACCTCTGCAACCCATCTAGCTTCTTATCTACAGTCAGGACCCTTTTCCAGAATGCCAAACTTCTGCTTTGGCCGGGTCCTTTTCAGGGTCTCCCGGACCCTTCACACTCTTGTTCCACAATGCACCTTGCCCTCTTCCCATCCCAGTGTTACAGGCACACAGCTTTTGACCAAGACTCTGTCATTGCTGTAGTGTTGCCTGCACTGTCCCTTCTCCAGATGGCATTGATTTTTGGGCCAGTGCTGGGACTTAAAACTCAGAACTTGGTGTTCTTGTTTGGCTTTTTTTTTTTTTTTTGGCTGGCAGTCTACCATTTGAACCACAGCTGCACTTCTGGCTTTCTGCTGGCTAATTGGAGATAAGACTTTCACAGACTTTCCTGTGCACACTGGCTTCCAACCACAATCCTCAGATCTCAGCCTCCTGGGTAGCTAGGATTACAGGCGTGAGCCACGGGTACCTGACTCCAGATGGCATTTCTAAGCTCTCTCTGGCTAAATCAGATCCTGCCATTCCCTTATTTGAATCTCAACATTCTAGCAGGATGAAACTGGTCTGGGTCCTAACTGTGGTGGAAATTCATTAAACTCCTTTGTCCACAGCCCATTTGCCTATAGAATTTTTTTTTCCCTTGAGACAGTCTTGCTAAGCAGCCCAGGCTGACCTGAAATTTACAATCCTGTTATAGCTTCCTGAGTGCTGGGATTGCAGGCCTGGTGCCATTATGCCTGGCTCAGTAGAATACTTTTGAAAGAAAAGAAACGCAAGTAGGAAATGCAAGTCCTAGAGTTAGGTCTGAGGCTTCTGAGAGGACCAACGGGGTCAGGCTGTGCTGCAAAGATGGAGATGGGAATCTCCAGTAGCTTCTCATCACCTGTGTGAGGTGGTGTGGCTTACTGCCCCCTGCAGGCAGTCAAGGGTGTTGCTGCTGCCATCTTCTTCCCCCTTGCCTGGGTCATTCACTTGTTTGGTCCAGCAATTCCTTCCAGTTGCTGCCCCACGTTTCTGTGTTCTGTCATGGTTAGTGACCCTGACAGGCTTGTTGATACTTTATTTCCTCCCCCAAACTGAAGGATACGGTTTCCATATCTCTCCTGGCTCCTTCCCAGTCATGTTGTAGTCCTCTTCCTTTCAGCTGACTTCCACCATAACATCCCAGGGCCCCTCCCCTTGGCCTACGTGCTTTTTTCTGCCTGGAGCCTTCCATTTCATTGGTCTTTCAGTGGTTCTCCATCTCTAACTGAAGCCTGGGACGTCTAAGTCATGTCTCAACTGGCCTCAAATCTCCAGCT